CTGGCTGAATTTTTGACGAGAAATGAAGATGGCCAGTGAGAGATGAATTTACTGCCGGGAGGGTGTGGGAATGGATGGAAGCGGTGGGGATGGGGCAGGATTGGGTAAATTCCATGGATTAGGTGGCTCGGTGGCCAGCCAGCAAAGCTGGTAGACTACAGACGGACATGGACTTGACATGGGTGGGGATGAAGCAGAAAATGGTGTGTGTGGAAGATGTGACACTCTGAAGTGGGTGCGTTACGTGCCTACCGATACTCGAGCACAGTAATCTGCGGGTGTTTGTTACGCGTATCTTTTTGGTCCAGTTGTATATGACGGCTGCGGCAAGGCAGCAAGATTTCTAGCCTTCGTTGGGTTCATCACATCACTGAAAAGGAGGTTGTGGAATTGATTCAGGCTCCGGTTCATGAGAAACCATAACTCACCCAGTACCATGTAAGTACTGTACCGGTACTGTACGAGTACGAGTGCTCATACACATGCAAATGGAGCCAGCCTAGGGCCCGCTCCACGGAAGACGAACAGGTGAAGAAAGAGAAAAAGCAGAGTGCAAAAAAAGGAAAATAGAGGGAAAAAAAGGAAGAAGAGATGCGCACCTGCAAGATGAGAAAAAAATGAGGGAAAGAAAAAATCCGATCCATTTGCCATACTCGTGCCCAGGTTGTGATGGGGCCTTGGCACGAATACCGGGTGGCCTAGAACGTGGGAGATCTGATCAAAGTGATGATTCAAAAGTGTCCGGACACCTTGGCATCCGGCTTTCCATCTTGGCACCAATATGTCCGGATACTTTTGAAAACGGCTAGTATCATACTTGTTGTGTGATAGTGGGTGACATTTGGATAACTCCTGGTGGTATTCAAAGTTAATAACCACGACTTACATTGCCAGTTTTCATCACGATCACGTATGATACCAGTATTCGGCTAAGAATAAATTGACTACTCGAGTAATAGAATTAATCAATGGAAACTAACACTAGAAAATAATTGTGAGGACACTGCTATACTCGTACCGTACCATAGTCTACCGTACGTGGAGCCGATCACGTTGAAACAACAGTTCAAGTTTACTCTTCCTGCCTGATGTTTTTTTTTCTTTTTTTCTCTAAATTTTAAGGAATACAATATGCAATATTTGGATCTCGTCGTATGCAAGACCACAAGATACAAGGATCGTACTAAATGCCTTGAACCAGCCTCAAGCAACTTGTATCTACTAAAGTTACAGAATTATTAGGAGTTTTATTGCTCCTAGTCCTCCCTACCTTAAGTGGCTTGGAGGATGACAGCCCGAAAGCCGGGGCCGGCCTTATCTGTGCTCTATTCGCCAATGCTTTTGGAGAAGGGCAGCCTAGATGGTGAGCTTCTCACTACTGATATTCAATACTCGTGCGAATGGTGCAAGCGATTGCGTAGCCCAGAGATGGTGTGCGGTTGTGGAGAGAATGGAAACATATAAAATTAAAATTGCATAACATGATTTAACTATTTCATAGTCAGCAATGCAATAGCTACATACCGTATTCCAATGTACTTTGTGTATTATTACCCAAACAGCTACAGAGCGCGACTGCATGATCCTATCATCATCAGATTGTAATGCACAAACCTTTCTGCGTTGAGCTGGCAGGCACCCAGTGGGTTGTGACGCCCAGTCACAAACTTGGCGCGAGTATGCCCTACCGGAACAGTATCAAGATCCAATTCGCCTTGCGGGAACGTAGCCTGTGGGCCGCCAAACGATTCCTCTATCACGAAGAAACGTTCTTTGCGAGTGAGAGGCAGGTCGCGGAGGTGCCGACTAAGAATCAGCTAGTATGGAAATCCTACCTATCACTGCTAACCTAACTGCTAAGGATGAAAATAGTGGCAGCGACTAGCAGAGTTATGATAGAGTGATGCTCGGCGGACCATGTCAAGGTTTCTACCAGTGGTGCACAGCCCATGACTTATTCGTGCCATTGCTGTGGCTGGGCGTCACAACCCCCGAATGCTCGCTTGCTCGTACAGTACTAGTACTGTACAGTAAATTGGGCACTCACTTGAGTGCCTGACAGTTCAGCGTCAGGTTCAGTTCAACATCGCTTGTGGCTTGGTGTAGGGAATTTGGTGTCTTGGCTTATGATAGAGTTTCTCTGCTGCAGTCTACAGCTGTCCGAGTATTAAAATAAAATAATCAGCATGCTCTGTTGTGCTAGCACTATTGAAATTAATTGCTGAATTTCTCATACCCATACGTGATAAGGTAGAGTGTTCCTGGTATGATGTGTGATATCTCCGAATGGTGTGTTGTGCTACAAGGTTTTCCTACGCTTAGCTACAAACTAATGTTGAGCCAGAAAGTGATGTTGAACTGAAAAAAATTTACTGGAGTGCCAGGCACTCTACCAACCTTGGCACGAGTATGATACCGTATCATACGAGATAAAAACGTCGGTCGAATGCTGGCGAGAGGGGATGGCTCACCTGAAGTGTGGAGTGTGGAATGGCAGGCTTGGGGGCAGTGGGGCTTCTTCGCCCTAAGCGTAAGTTTTGATATGATAATTCGACTTTTACCGGTATCATACTAACATAACTTGTATCATAGTTTATTGAATTATTTGATTGAAAGATTTCAAAATATCCAACTCCCACTAGTTGTTTGAGGAGCAAACGGTAGGAATATTCACTAAGAAGCAGCTTAAAAGCAAGTTGCTAAAGTTAATATGTAATCAGCAAACCAAAGTAGAGGTATTGACACCAGTCCGTGGCGCGGCTAAAAAAATAATAAATTTAATGTTTTTGAAGGAGAGGACGTTTGAGAGTTGCCTATTTTTTGCAGGCAAAGTGACTATTCCACTGCGCCATGCTATGTCATAGGGTGAGCTTGCAGGCGATAAGATTTTGCGTCATGCGGTACGGTGCTGTATCATAGATTCTCCTCGGATACCATAAGAATAATCTTACTCGAGTAACTTACCGCCACCCATCGCTAACGATACCGCTCATAACCCAATCTACCCGAGTATGGGTGCTGTGACATCGATGTGCTCTTTCAGCCTGCCCAAGGGAGGCTCCATCGAAAAGTGTGATTGACGAGCACCGGGGTTCGGTATGATCCGCCTTTCTTTTGGCGAATATGAGTGTATGTGATTGGTTGATATTGTCTTCTCCCCATCTGGGCATGTAAAAGCGATAAGCCATGTTTCTCTGCATTGGCATAAGGGAAAATCTCCCCCTCGCAGCCAACAGCTCACCCTGGAAGAAAAAAGAAAGAAAGAGAAAGAGAGGAAAACTTTTGTTGGGGCGTAAGAGTGGCAACCACCTCGAAATGCTAAACCTCCTTACTCCCGAAATTGTACTCGTACCCTCAGCTGACTCGCAAGCTTACACCTACGCAGAGCCGCTTCTCAGGCGCCAAAAATTCTCGGGGCCCCAACTTATCCTCATCTCAATCTCTTTGTTCCCATGTTTCAACGTCAACATCGCCACCTCTAAACTATTACATCTTGTTTTCATACCCTAATATTCTGCGATACTTTATCGCCTGTCCGAGTCTTCGAAGGCGCTATGCCAAAGCTTTTCCTGCCTCCCCGCAAGATAAGCGAGCCATCAAAAAACACCTCCGCCGCATCTTCTACGCCTGTCGACCCTGGCACCGGTTCCTCTCTTAACATATCATCCTCGTTGCCGCCTACTAATGTTCCTGTGGTGAATCCAAATACCCGTATACCCCCGGCTCCGCCGTCGAATACCGGCGTCGTGCCACCGACTCTGGCCCTGCCATTATCTCCATTATTTGCGGATGGGAACCCTCACGGAAAGGCTATTACCCCCCCGACTCTCGCCAGGCCTTCTCCTGGCCAAAATCGAAGGAAAGGCCCTCCTAGGATTGTGGCATGCGGTACGTATTCATTTCTTTTTTCGCTGATTCTACCCTCCCATATTTTCCCTTATCCATTAGCCGCTTCTCTTGACACTGCGAGCGCCCCCTAACTAATGAATTCATCTAGTCTCCTGTCACAGACAGAAGAAAAAGTGTGCGGGGGAACGGCCTTGTGCGCGCTGTGTGGCTCTCGGGGTAGCCTGTAAGGAACAAGAAAGGCCTGATGATGGATTTCAGTACATTCGGAAGAAGAAGAAGTTGAAAACCGCGAAAACCCTGGATCCATTACCCCAGCTTCCGCTTCACCCTCTAAACCATCCCACCCCCTTTCCGGGTAGCTTGTGGACCTCCATGGGCCAGCAGGCAAGTCATGATAGCCCGGCTTATCAGAACCAACTTCCGTCGCCTTCGCCGTCGTTGACAATGGTGGGTACACCTAGCGACTCTCTATTCGAGCGTGATCTTTCTTACCAAGGATCAGATCCCGGTGGAAATGATGAACGTCGTGACCGAAGCCCACAAGCGGCCAGTGGTGACGTGACCCAATGCGACGATGACGAATCAACTCCAACACCAACCCCAGTCTCGATTGAAGCACCCCCTTCTCCATCCCCCGAGCCAGACTCAGTCGCAAACCAGCCAACTTCACACCCCATTTCTGACTATTTTGGCACTGCTCCTGAAGCCGTCTTTGGTCCAGCTAATCTCGACCTTGGCCTTCTCGCTGACTTGGAGGCCGACCTTGAATTGGACCTTGAGTTGTTTGGGTCCCCTGAAAACGAGGGTTCTTCACTAGGTGGTTGCAACGCTGTTGGTACCCCAACTATTAGCGAGCAGACTGAGAGTACAACTCAGTTGGGCGAAGGTGGGGGGGGTGAGACTGCCGGTAGCGGTGGATTCTCTGAATTAGAGTGGGAAGCATGGAACAAGAAATATTCTTCTGCCGACGTGGCCCATTCTTCTCCGTCCTTTCTCGATCTCGGCGATGGGTTCGATTTCCTTGAGCCCCCAACTCCTAACTCACCTGCACCAATGACTCCTGCCCATCAACACACGCCGCAACCGCAACTGGAAGATACCACCGTCACAAATACTGCCCAGCAACCGACACCCGAGAAGGAGGGAGACAGACAAAGTGAGGGGGCTGCTTGATAGGGGTTTGTATTCCTGAATGTTATCCCCGTCAAAGAAGGTTAATACGTAGCCTGGTGTGGGAAGGGGTATCTATTTTTCTAGATGTTTCAGCTATGCAATTGGTATGAGGTCCGAGGGGGGAAAAATGGTATGCCAAAGGTCTGGGGGGGAGAGGGGAGACAAAATGGGTTGAATGGTTAAGCTCGTCCTTCCTTGTCGTCTTCGCCTTTCGCGGCAAACCGACACTGGGGGAGGCGTAGCGGAGGGGTGATCACCAATCAGGTACAGTAGTCATAGCCAGCGCAACAAAGTTTCCCTACCTTAAGGTTATGGGGTGAGTTAGATTGTAATCATTATGCAAGTGCCAAAACAAAAAGTTGGTTCATTCCGTGAAAATAACTTGCATTCATTTCATCGTCGCCGGTGCGTATTGAACCTCTCTTTCTCCTTCTATGCTATTAACTTTTTCCCCCTTTTTCCCCTTCTTTCCCTTTTTCCCCTCCCCCTTGCCCTCTTTTTCGCTTTCTATGCGCCTGTCGATTGATCTCGCGCTACCTTTCTTCCCCCCCCTTACGGACAGGGTTTTCGGAATGGCTCTATAGCCGATCGGTCATCGATACAATACCTTCATCTACAGGACCGTGTAAGTGCAAGGAGGCTGTGAGCGAACGAGAAAGAGTAGGCTATGGCATTAGATCCTGTATGATCACCATGCTGGCTGGGCATTGGAACCACCAAAGATGGGTTTGACTAAGGAGGATATGACAGGTATGAGATCTAAGTCGAAACGAAACGGATGAAGAGAAAAAAAAGAAAAGAAAAAAAAGATAAATCAGGGAAGAGGAGAAGAGAAAAGCAGGAGGGGGAAGAAAAAAAATAAAATAAAAAAGGTATCAAGGCTTTAATTCGTAGTTAAAATATTTAAAACTGCCGAAGTTTTATATCATACATTCAAGAATCTATCTGATCGCTACCACAGCGTTGCCCAGTAACCAGCCAACCAACCAAACAAGTGATAGCAAGCAAAGTAAGCAAGCAAGTTAGAAAAAATAGTAATACTACAAGTACTAAAGGGGGGGAGATCCCCGTGTTTCATGCAACCTCAACCGATCGATCATTCCGCTCTGGCGGCCGGAGCTTCAGGAGGAGGGGGAGGAGCAGCGGCAAACATCCGCCTCCAGATGGCCGGGGGGTCCAACGGTCTCGATCCATTGCGTATTCGCGGGTATATGTCCGAGAAGAAGTAGTAGACTGGTTCACCACCACAACAACACATATATAGTATTAGCAAAGCAAGAAAGTCAACAAAACAATCAAGCAAAAACAAATTATCCATCCATCCATCCACCCATCCCTTCAAGCCACACTCGTAGATGACGATATATATATCTGAAAGAAATGAGAAACGTACCATGTCCAACCACAATCCCCAGCAAGTCATCCTTGGGAAGGGTATTATTCAACAGCAGCGAGAAGCCCAAGAGAACCCAGGGCAGGTAAGGCGCACTGAAAATGAAAAGTCCCAAGAACGACAACCTAACCGCCGGATTCCTTCGAGCCCATATGTAGACCAACGAGAAGCTAAGCGGGGATCCAAGGAAGGGCATAGAAGCTATGGGCGACAATATCTATAACACGCATCCCCACCACCACCACACACACTCCCACATCAGCATCCTCCCTCGGCAAAAAAAAATACAATACTCACCAACAGCGAAGCAGCAGAATACACAATCAGCCAAGCGAAATCCGCCGTCCTCCCCCGGAAACTGCTCTCCTCCAGGTTGCGCGAGTAGCGGCTCATGAAGAAGATGTGGAACATGAAGTCCAGGCTCAGCGGGCCGAAGTACAGGAAGGTGGTGCCCAGACGCCAGTACTGTCGCTTCTGCCAGACGCTTGTGAAGCTGTAGAATAGTTGGAAGGGAGTGACGATCTGGCATTGCACCAGCACGCTCGTCAATACCGCTGCTGTGGTCCATACGCGCGTTACGATGGGTACGTCGTAGTACCATTGTTCCAGGGTGTTTAGTTCGGCCATTGCTTTGAATGATTGTTTGTTGTTGGGGTAGTGGTGGTGATGGGAATTGGAATGGGAGAGGGGGGGAGGGAGGTGGTTTGTGATGTGATAGATAGATAGGATGGGTTGGATATCGTTGAGCACAAAGTTTTGGGCGACGTTGCTGGTTTTTGTGGCTAGTTTTTGTGTGGCGGTGTGGCTGGTGGTGGTGGGCTTGTATGATGATAATAATAATATTATGATATATTGTTCGATTCTGTCGAACGGGAGGGGGCAGGGGGAAAAAGGTCTGCACGATCTGGTGAGTCATGCGGTCGCATACCAGTAAGAGTAACCCTTTTTCTTGACTCATTAACGGTGGGACGTGTCGTTGGGGTTCATATTGCGTGTTTCCCCACCAGCCTCTCTCCTCTCTGGTGGGTTGGAGGCCTAAGGCACACAAGTTGGTGGTGGCCTGTAGTAGGGAGTACACGGTTGGCTATAAGTACTGTACTAAGCACAATACCGTAGTCACCTTCCTCACCTTACTTTGCGGTGCGTTGTTTACTCGCTCACCCAGAAGTTGGCTATTTGGGTGTCACGATTGGAAAGGCAGTGAATGAAGACTTATTTGGAATAGAATCAGTTGTTGGTTAAAACTAGAAACATAAAACTTTCAATTGACCACTATGATAACCCCTTAGTATCCCCTCTCCACCTGCTCCGATTCCCTCCTAATAAATCTAGGCTATCACATACTATCACTCGCAACTCAACCACACTATATCAACCAACCAACATCACAATCTCGGAAACATCCCATCAGAGGAAAAAAACGGAAATTTAGAAGTTTTTTGAGCAAGAAAAAAAAAAACCAGACTAACTTGAAGAGAAACTACTGTACAACTATCACAACCAACCGAGTGACCAACCCCCGGTTCTCATGCCATCACACCGTTTTTTTTGTACCATGTCCTACCCCCCCGGACATCGCCGTCAGCCCTACCCATCTATTCATCCATCAATCAATCCATCCACAGCCGTCCACCCCTAGAGAAGCCTAACCACAGCCCAGCCACATACCCGCAACGCCTATACAACGAAAAGGCCGTAAAGGAAATTACCCATCGCAAGAGGTAGCAGACGTAAACGCGGAAAAAAAGAGAAACATAATGAAATGCAAATCCAGATCTGACAAAGATATGGTAGCGAAGCTACTTGGATAGCAAAAGAAGAAAGAAAAAGGGCTGGCAAGAAAGTGTAATAAGTAGAAGAGAAGAAAAAGAAAAGAACAGGACTATATTACTTTTCCCAATGTTTCATACTTCATATATGTACCTCCCGCTTTACCTTAACTCTCGGCCCACCAGAATCTCCCTATTGAACTGGTCAGCACCACAAGTGTAGAGAGCGTTTGTGGGCAGAACATACCTCAGCCTTCCTCTTCCCCCCAGATCCACTGTCCGGCGGGGTTGTCCCACGGCTTGAGTTCCCAGCGGCGGTATCCTTGCTAGCCTCCGCATGGCAGCTAGCATGGTAAATCCTGGCACCGACCTGCTTCGCGTCCATGAAGACAAATTCCTCGCTCTCGTCGTGCCACTCGTATTTCAGTTCCTCTTGACAGATTGGACATACAGCACGGGTCTTGGATGGGTCGGAGATGATGACGTATTGGTCTTTAGGATCGGGGTTGTTCGAGGACGAGTTTGGGTTGGAGGAGGATGATGATGAGACGCCGATGGCGTTATTGCCGCTGTTGGGGTGGCTATTTGGGTTGGGTGCTAGAGAGGAGGAGTCCTCGCCATCATCCCGCGATTTGATCCATTCCTTTATCACGAGGGTCGTATGTTAGTGAGGGGGATTCTCTAATTTGTGCTTTTGGCTTTTCACAGTTGGATCGAAAGAGCATGTATGTGTATGTGTCTTTGATATTGAAGTTTGGTATCTGAAATGGGGGTATTGTGTCGGGTTTCGGGTTCGGGGGGTCATTTACCTCTTCTCCAAGATACCAACTCCTATTCTGACCGCGCTTCACGCTCTCCGCCATCCGCTGGTGCACGCGAAAATGCCAGTCGAGATGTGAGGCCTTCTCTTTTTTCCCTGCTTCCGAATCGGCAAATCTTCGCGCACATGAACTACACTGGTTCGGGAGTGCCTCGTTGAGTAAAGGTAAGAGGTGCGGCCGTGGTCTATAATCACATTGTAACAAATAAAATTTTCACAATCAATCAGCATGCTTCTTTTCTACGAAGAAATTCTCTTTCTCTCAAAGAGTAATAATAATATATATGTGGCGACCCGCAGTCTTTAAAAAGCAGAGAGAGGGGAAGGGGGGAAAGGAGAGAGTGTATAAAAGCAATATTGGGGGGACTACATTTTAAGGGACATAGTATTCATTTCTACGTCTATTGAACGCCAATCAAGTTTACCTTGCCGGATTGGGATCTGCGGGGGGATTGGAGGTGGTGTGAAATTACTTCCCGGAATTGGGAATAGGAATGGAGGCAACCCAGTAGGGGGTGGCGGGGGCGGTGGTGGAATGTTAGCAGGCGGTCGTGGTAGCAAACCTGCTTTTCGTAATGAAGCAAATAGAGAAGCTGCATCGCCAGAGGGTGCAAATAAGTTAGGTAGAGCTGAGGGTAACAGCGGCGTTGGAGCCGGAGGTGGTGGCGGAGGTGGTGGAGGAACAACCAAAGGCTGGTTTTGAGTAGCAGTCGCCAACAACGCCGCTAGGTCCTGCTTCGAGAATGGCAGTTGTATAGTCGGTGGAGGAGGAGGAGGAGGAGGAGGAGGAGGAGCTATGGCCACAGCGGGGGGAGGTGTTGGGTTAGCTAGTCTCGTCACCTGTTCTCTGACCAGCGCAAGTTGAGCTGGGGGAAGCTGTTGCGTCTGTAAAATAGCCTTCAAGTCAAGCAAAGCCTTTAACCTCTTCTGTATCTCTTGATTAAGTGGATCCTCTGCAAACCTCTTCTGCGAAACCTCAATAAGACCAGATATATCGCCGAGAAGAGTATCAACACTTGAATGCCCGGTCGAATGAGCAGAGGGTTGCTGTGGAAACGGTGCCGAAATCCCCGCAGGGTTTGCCGGGGCAGATTGGCTCAGCACGGCCTGCAGTATATGAGCATATGGGTGAACCATGGTGGGATATTCTCTCCTGTAACCAACCGTATTTCTGCCATAGACACCTTGGCCATTGTTCCCGTAGTCATAGCTTTGCCCGTTCATGTATTGCGAAGGGCCATTGGCTACAGGCGGTGGTGTATTTTTGTATTGTGGGAGCAGCTGTGGTGGCGGTGGTGTAGCGATAGATCTATTGTAAGCTTTTGGATCCTGACTCTGTTGTTTCATCTGCTTCTGTTGATGTTGGAGAGCAGCAGTTCTGGCTTTAATAAGAGCATTGTCTATTTTGCGTGTTACCTCTGAAGAAAAGACTGGATTGCTTGATGAAGAATTGGGGACCGGTTGTTTCCATGTGTGAAGCATCTCCTCCAACTTCCGTCGTACAGAAGGCTCAACCTTTGAGTAGGCATTCATAAACGTCGAGTAGAGATCTCGTTGGAAGAAGAGTGTGTAAGGTGTTCCAACATTTTTAGCAACTGAGTCCAGCAAATACAGGGCAGGGAGTTTCCTGTTAGGCGAAGTCTATAAGGATCAGCAACTGTTCGAGTGGTCATGATACAATCATGCGCCTGCGAACTTCTCACAGCTAAGGTTTTCTCTCTCTCTCTCTCTCTAATGGATTTCAAAAGATACATGTGATTACCAACCAAAAGCCGGAGAATCCGATGCGTAAACGTAAGGATGAAGGTGATTATACAGGGTATATATATAGATATACCGGAAACGAAAAGGAATCGGGGGCGCTTACTTTGGTGATATGTTCTTCGATAGTTCTAGCTATTGCCTGTGCAGCGTGTATGTTTTCTTTCGCGATAACCGTCAAATTGCTGATCTCATATCTTGAGTTGAAGGCTAGATCTTCCAAAGAGGATCTATAATCCTCGGCTATCTCCTCTGAAGAAAGTTGTGTTGAAGACATGATGGCGATGAAAGGAGAAGGCGGGGAGGCTGTAAAAACGAGATGTATGGTGAAGGAAAGAGGGTGGATGGGAAGGGAGAGAATAGAGGGTGTGCGCAGGCGGAAGAATGTGGGTGAGTAAAATGTAAGCACGATAACAAATTTTTTTTTTTTTTTTTTCGCTCTTGTCTTCTCTGCGAACTCCTCTTCTAGGCTTCAGGGCAAATTTTTGTGCGTGTGTGCGTGTGCAAATCTCTCTAGCTATTTCTCACGACAAGAAAAGAAAAAGGAAAAAAAAAGTAGAGACGACGATGAGAAGGCTCTCGCGAATCACTAAAGAAAAGGAAAGGAAAAAAAGGCCCTCCTTGTCCTATTTTCTTTTTTTTTTTTCCCTTCCACCTCTTTCCGCAGTGTTAGGAGGAGACGCCCCGTCAATACGATCAGGTTCCGCTCCCTTTTGTATACTTTTTTTTTGCTCCCCTTTCTCTTCCCCTGACTACCTTTCCCTTCCTTTCTGGTGGTCTCCCTGATGCCCTGTGTCTTTAGTTTCCAAACGGATGAGTGCCGGAGGTGATGATGGCGGCTTCGGTGAGTGTTGTGAGGAGGGTTTGAGGGGAAGTGAAGCGCTGTTGTTGAAGGGAGGCAAGGTGGTTGATAGATGAGTCGAGAGAGGAGGTTGGACGGAGGTGTGTCAGGAGCGTTGGCGTAAATCGGTTGATATACTGCCGTGTGATTGGACCGGGGCGCGACAAACGCATGCGGTAGGTAGTCGGTGGAGGAGAGATCAGATAAGATAGAGATTCTTGACACAGCCTCGCATCATAACTTGACTTGTTATTTGCGGAATCCTTAACAGTTTGAAAATTCGCTTGGGCTCAGATGCGGTCAGGGAAACTCCCGTTTGTCGACTCGAAAGGTGGGAACTTGGAGCCTGGGTGATACTGTGAAGCGAAACGGACAAGGCCTTGATCTAACTTATACTCGAGTATATCATACAAGGATCCAGCTTAGCATTTGCATTTCAGGCCAAATAAGTTAAACCCAATGCTGGCGTCGGCAACAGTACAGTATATCGCCATAACATATCAAGGTTATTGGCCGGGTACCGGTAATACCGTATCTGCCAGTACTATTACCGGTACCAATACTACGGTATCCCGTCATCATAGTCACGTATGGGTTATCCATGGGCTGTGCAAACATTTCGCAATTAAGTGCAAAATACAAGTACCGGTATACCATACCGTAGAGAGCTCGATTTAAGCTCATTCTACACTGTAAGTTACTGCACAAGTGCCGTATCATACTGCGCGAGGGGGTGAGGACAAAAATTTCCCTATCGAAAGCTTGACCTTTCTACCAAACGTGAACTTCCTAAGGTGATTTCGCAAACATGCAGGTCACCCTGTCGTATTATCAAGTTAGTCAGACACACAAGGTAGAAATCTACGAGCATATCACGTCATTTTCCACAAAGCGCAGTTATTCCGCAGTCTTTCCTCCAGATATGATTTCGAGTTTCCATTGTATCGGTTCCAAACACCACCGCACTCCACAAACTTATGTTACAACCTTATCCCCGGCAACTTTTTGTTTGTCTTCGGAACCCATAGGAATAGCTGAACTTAGACTTTTTGAGAGGAAAAAAAGGGGAAGGGGGGGAAAAAGATCCCCCCCCACTGTTACAACCTATTCATCACAAACCCATCGTTCCTAGACAGCCGTTCGAAAGGCGGCAGCGTCTGGAAACTTTTCAGATGCTTTTTGATTGTAATCTTTATTCTCTACTTTCAAATCCGCAAGGAGAGCTTGGCCTTCTACTGCTTCTTTGAGGGTCAGATTTTCGAGGGAAAGTGTATTTGCCAGCTCGTCAGCGATGCTGGCGTCCTCTGGGCTAAGCAAGTGACGGGCTCGGAGAGCTGGGTATTGATTAAGGTTAGTATAAGAGGTACCTCATGAGTAGGAGTAATATGATGCCAACCTCCGTGTACGTGTTTAGGACTGTCTCTGTGCGAATTCAGAAACTCCTCGTTATAGGACTTCAAATCGGTTTCCTTTGGGAGTATGCTCTCCAGTTCCGCCGTCAGAACCTCCCTCGAGGGTTCCTTGATGTCTTCGTCGACAAGAGAATCCACTGAAGTATCTCTATTAGCAAGATCACCCCGATGATTTACGGTAGAAACACACCAGCTCGTCGAAATCTAATAGACTGTTCATGAACGACAGGGTTTTCCTCCTCCGTCTTGCGGGCGGCGATTAAGCACTTAAGGGCAAGCAGCCACTTCTTCCTTCTAAAGTAGACTTCGAATCCAGCACATTGGACCTCAGTCTTCTTAGGGCTCAGTTCCAAAAGGGGTATCAGAAATTTCATCGCAACTTCCAGTGGCTCCTTCGTTTGTGCCAGAGCATTCCCAAGAGGATCAGTATCTTCCTTTTTCATTTCACCATCAGCATTGGAAATCTGAGAATTCTTGGCCTTGTCTTCTTTGGCTTTGGCAGCTAACTCTGCAGCCTTCTCCTGCGCTTTCTGCTGCTCTCTTTTGGCCTTCTTGAGGGCCTTCTTTCGGTCCGTGGGCGACATTCCTTCAAAATTAGTACCTTCTCTACTTCCATTTGAAAGCGAGCCGTGAGCAAGATGCGGTCTGTCGTGAAGCATGATGTACACCCTGATAGCTCCCAAAGCAGCTCTCACGAAAAATGGATGTGAACGGAGAGTGTCCTCCCATCGTAGCATCGTGACGTAAGAGCGAATCTGACCCTTCCGAAGAGAGAAAGAGTGGAAGTCGAATTGGTCTTCGGTCCAGTCATCGAAGATTTTCAAAATAGCATGAAACCTCTTGAGTGCAAGTCCAAGATTTCCCTGGCGAAGATAGGATTCACCATCCTCGGTGATGAACCAAACGCATTGCATCTCTAACAGGTCACCCAGCGGACCACCATGTGCGTCATTCTTCATCCCCATTTCACTCTGTTAGAGACTAGATCACCAGGCACTGCTAAGAAACGAGGATGATGAAAGGAATGACCTACTCGAGTGAAGAGACTCATGGTCTTCAAAGCGTCCTCATTGCGATCGTTTCGGAGCTGATACTTGGCGCACTTGGTGTTAATATATCTGTCTTTGGTATCCAATTTCCTCGCCCGGTCCATCTTCTCCATAGCCTTTTGAAAATCCCCGGAGTGTTTGTGTATCCGAGCTTGGGTCATGTGCAGTTCCAGTGTACCAGATGAAAGCTCTAACGCCTGGTTAAGGTATTCTGAGGCCTTAGTGGTATCCCTGGTTCGGTGGTGGTCATAATGCTGGGTGAGGAAGTAGAGTGTCCACAGCTTAAACTCTGACGGCTTCAATTTATCGCCATTGGTTTCACCATTTGTTGATGTTTCCTCTTCAGTTCCCATAGACGCTAAATAGCCCTTTACAAGCTCCAAAATCACTTCCCGCTTGGCGGTATCCGCATAGAGAGCCTTTATGTTCGCAAAAGTTGATGGAACCCCCTTCTTCAGCAACTTCTGAAGGTATACATCTGCTGCCTGTTTGAAATCCCCCCCTAATCTAATGGTCAGTGTATCGATAGGTTCAGCTTTAGCAGTGTGACCTACCCTCCAGGAAATCTAGCGGTATTCTTCGCGGGGCATCGCTCCTGGGATTCTTTTCAGTAAACTCATCGTAGATCGCCCTCATTGCCTTTCGGTCTTCGGGATCAATTCCCATCGACTGCTCTAGACCTTTATAGTATTCTCGCTTTTCCGAGTTGCGGTTTAGCAAAGCCCGGTACGCCTTTTCTGCCTCCTCTCTCCGGTCCAATCGAAGAAGGTAATCCGCCCGGTATTCCATCACAGAGATCTTGTCCAAAGAAACTTTCGCTATCGATTCCAAGTGCTCCAAGGCTCGTGCGATATCGCCTGATTCGGCGATCACTACATTCCTATACAAGCACGCCTCGGAGTGCTCGATGTCTCCTCTGCTTGGGGGGTTCTTTAAAGTCTCTTCGTACTTTTTCAGCACATTCTCAGCCTCGGCGTAACTTCCGGCAAGATGATATGCAACCGCCAATCCCGTCCAGTTCTGTCGGAGCTGTGGGCGCCCCTGAAGGATTTTACCCCGAGATTCAATGTAGCCGGGATAATCTCTCATCTGAACCTGCAACAGTGCTAGATCCCTTAATATTTGTTGGGATTCCGGTTCGAACCGAAGAGCCATTTTGTATGCCTTAATAGATTCCTCAAAGTTCTTCTCAGACCGGTAGAGCAATCCATAGACATGCCAGCAGACGTGGGACTTCATGTCCTGCCGCAGAGCCTCCTTAGCTATTGCGAATGCTTCCTCAGTCCGTCCAAGTGAGTTTGTAATGAGGCCTTTCATCGCGAGAGTTTCTCCATGTTTAGGGTTCTTACGGAGGATTTGCTAATTGCGCAAAGAAAACGTTAATAACTGGCGTTAAACATAATATTTCCCATGATAGAAAACCCCTTTTTTGTACCGACCTCAGCAGCCTTTAAGCCTTTTTTGTATTGCTTTGTTTCGTAACACTTTAGGACCTGTCGAAACAGTGACCCGTCTTTTGACGCTAATGGTGCTTGTGGCATTTCGGGGTATTGATAGAGTGTTCAGAGCTTCGAAGCCGGGCGGTACAAACGGTCAAGACAGGACCTGCAGCAGTTTGGGACGTCAAAAACGTAGTCTTCCGTAAGTGACCGTAGCCTTGTCAAGAGAACGCGAGCCAAATCGATGGAATTGAGCCGATGAGAACTTCAAGTAGGCTAAAACGACTTCGAAGGGGGCTGACTGAGAATTTCGCTCGGGGAATGGCAGTCCTGGATTGATAGAGGAGGATAATTCGGAGGAGGGGGTCGTTGAAATTGAGCGAACAGCGTTTGACAAATGCTGGTGTGGGGTCAGAAATCTTTGCCAAGACTCGTCTGCGTATCCACAAGCTATCACTCGGACAACGTCTCTCTGTACGATATATCGTACCCCAGGGAAAGCAGGGCCATCTCCAAATGTGTGATATCAAGCCAAAAGAATTTCTACACTTATAACCACAGTTAATTACCTCATTACAACCCAGAGGCTTAGGCATCATATGATAAATTATAAGGGCCATCACAGCACCTTTCGCTTTCGACACCTCCTATGTATATACAGGGCAAAACTCGGGGCTTTCAGATCCATCAGAGAGAAAGAAAAAAATAAAAATAATAATAATCAACGGGAACAAAAGGACGCGTAGGCAAAAATTCCAAAAATTTGGTTATTCGGACTCTCGATAGTACTCCGTTCTCTCTTTCCGCTATCGTAGCTCGCAAGCGTCTATTCTTAGCCGCGCCAGCTGCTCTCCAGAACCTCATTGACGATTTTCTCTACCTCCTACCAATAATCAATCAGTATTGTAAATCTAGTTCCAGAAATCTAGAAGGAACATACATCTGTATCCCTATTTAGTCGCACCAGCTGTCTTGCTCTTCAGAACCTCATTGACAATTTTCTCAACCTCCTACAAATATCAATCAGTATTGTGAATCTAGTTCCAGGAATCTAGAAGGAACATACGTCTATGTCGTTGGTTGGAACCCTTGTCATAGAAACACCAAAGTAATTTGATATCTCATTCATCTCAGACCAGCTCTGCTTGTCATGAACAAAGCTGATTGACACACCCACGCGCCCGAATCTTCCAGTCCGTCCAATACGGTGAAGATAGGTCTGAGGGTCCGGCCGGCGGTTCTGATCAAGAGGGATGTCGTAATTGACCACCATCGAGACAGTTGCTACATCGATACCGCGAGCCAAAACATTGGTAGTAATAAGGACTTTGGCCCTCCCCGAACGGAAGTCATCGATAACCCTATCTCTGTCTACGCCTTCCTGTGCACCGTGGAGAGCAGCAACTTTGTGCCCATCCGCTTCCATTCGCCTCTGAATCTCAGATGCCGTTTCGCGTTTCTGGGCCGACGGATCAGTTTTCACACCTACCAAATCTAACTATCACTGGGTCCATTACCTTGACGAATATGATTGAAGACCCGATTGTCAAAATATGATAGAGCTCAACCAATATCCGATATTTGTCCTCTTCACTGTCACAGTCCATATAGAGTTGCTTGATCCCGTCCACGGTAAGTTCTTCGTGTTTCAGGGTGATCTGATTCGCATCTGGGGCAAATAGGTTCGCGTATTGAACAACCTGGTCAGGAAAGGTTGCTGAGAATAGGACAATCTGGGCAGTCGCGGGTATATTCCTAGACGAAAAAAATATTAGGCCTTCATGAGCAGGTAGTGGTCATAATCCATAAAAGGTGGGATCTAACTGCTTCACGCGGAGACATTGATCGCCAAGTCCTTGTTGATCAAGCATATTATCAGCCTCATCGAGCACAAAAACTTTAAGATGTTGTACAGGTAATTGTTTCCGCCGAATCAAGTCAAGAACCGTGCCAGGTGTCCCAACGACAATATGTGCATCAATCTTCTGACCACGTTGAACCATATTCGGGATAGCAAACTGAGTTCTGATGTCGGTAAATTGACCCATGGTTTGAACAACACTCATAATCTGTCTAGCCAGCTCTCGAGACGGAGCCAAACAGAGAGCTTGGACATTGCTGACGGACATGTCAACACGAGTCAACATTGTCAAAACGAAGGCCGCTGTTTTCCCAGTCCCAGATTGTGATTGGCCAATCATATTTGTGGGGGGGTCTGATAAGAGGAGGGGGAGTGCTCGTTCTTGGATCTTTGACGGCTTCTTAAAGTTCATGAAATAAACACCCTCTAGAAGCTCCTTGGAGCTGTAATAGATAAAATAATACAAGTGTCAGCTCCGCGAGAGATTGGAAAATAGGGCCAGTACCCCGAGGCAAACAAGTATGAAAGCGCAAACACCCCGCCAGCTGATTGGAGGATGAACCAAGTTTACACTTACAGTCCGAGATCTTCAAATTTTTTGACGGAATAGAGGGGACTATTAGGATCCCCCTGTAGGTCGGCAAGCTTTACAGCAACTTCATATTGGGGCTCATCGAGACCTGAGCCTCCCGCCGCAGGAGGTGGTATGGAGGTAGATGCTTTATCGGTGGTAACAGCAGCACCAACCGGGACTTCAGGTACCTTCCCGATTCGAGACTCGAGAGAAGCTGGCTGCTCGGCCATTGTCGATGACGAGGTCAAAAAACAAAACCAGCGGCCCAGTGCAGGATAGGGGGAAGACTCAAGAAGTCAAGTCAGCAGTGATGGAGGAGATGAAGTGCTGAGATGAGAAAAGGTATCGGGATATTGAATTAATCTGATGGACTGTGGGGTTGGTGAAGGCTGAAGCAAACTTCGTGGAGTGGTTCAAGAAGATTGTTGTGGTGTGCCCAGACGAGGGGAGTCATTAAGATTGTGGGGTAGCGAATCCATGATTGGTCCAAATCTCCTTGCGCTATCCTCAATTGACTATTGCCCTAGCCGGATGGGAGAACTCGTATGATAATGGTTCATAAAGATGACTAAGCCTCCAAGGGCAAAGAATGGGATGTGGCCTTTGCCAAGGGCCGGACCGCATGATACGATACCTGGTACGGTATTCTTCGACCGGGTTAGGGTTCGAAAAGGCTAAAAACATTTCACAGCTTCTCTTCCCCATCCTAGACCTATCGTCGCCCCTCATCCCATTGCCGTACTCTACCCCAATCTCTTTCCCACACACCCTCCCCCCCACTACGGTACCCTCTCATTTCAACATTCCTTATCCGTATTACAACTTTCCTTTCTCCCCTCCCACAACCTTCATTGTTTATTATTAGTTACTCTTTACCTCCCCTGTCTCTGGTTCCGGGAACTGTTTGTGCATACCGCTGGTTCGTAAATAATGGATGGCCAGACCCTAGCGGTTAACTTTGGGGAAGAGCTGAAGGTGCGATTTTCCCTTCTGTACCCTGTGCCCTTCTCGGGCTCTATGTGGCTAATTTCCCTCAGGATGCATTTAAACCTATCAGCGCTTGGGTAATCCATCCACACCCTGTCGATTTGCACAGGAACGAGGCTGACTTACGCAATCTTTAATAGGTCGCCGGTGGGATCGCGTGGCTTGATGATATACAGTCATTTTATCGCGAGAGAGCAGTGATAGAGAAGGAGTACGCTGCAAAGCTCAACGCTCTAGCAAAAAAATATTTTGAGAAGAAGGCCAAAAAAAGCTCGAGCCTCAGTGTTGGAGATACACCGTTTATGACTCCGGGCAGCCTAGAAAGGTATCCTAGTTCACCGGTTACGGACATTGGCCCTCTACTCGTAATTGAACGATGTTCGAGAACACGATCACTTTTGCATGACACCAAGGTCCAAGCAACAAACTGAATTTTGGCGGTATGCAGCAGCAGTTGTGTTCACAAACATCATTCAATTACGAGCATACCCCTTCGTGGTCACACCTCTAACCGCTCTCGTGTGATTCTAGTGCCTCGTTGACTACATGGACCACTATTCTTTCCGCAACGGAATATGTTTCGAAAGAACACGACAATTTCGCCGCGTGCCTCTCGAATAAAGTATGCGATTCTCTAAAGTCAATTGCAACCCGATACGAAGATTATCGGAAACGCCATGAGTCCCTTGCCGCAAAACTATTAGCGGAAAGAGATTCAGTCTACTCCGATTTGAAGAAGAGCAAGGATTCATATGATGCGACATGTAGAGTTGTTGAGGAGAAGAGAGCCAAGGTTGATAAGAGTTATGACACAGCAAAGCCCAAAGCTGAAAAGTCCTACCAAACGCAACTGGCCGAAATGAACAATGTAAAGGTAAGTCCAGCTTGCATTCATTGTCTGGGCTTAATGGCTGCCCTCGGTCCATTCTATCGAACTATGTTAGAATTAATTTTTATGTTGCTCTACCAGAATACCTACCTCCTACAGATCGCTGTTACAAATAGGCAAAAGCAAAAATACTTTTATGAAGATCTCCCAGAACTAATCAACGTACTACATCCTTCCCTATCATCAAAAGTGGCTGATATCTGAGTCCCACTAGTCCCTACAAGACCTAAACGAGACCCGTGTCGCCAAGTTAAATTCGCTTTGGACTTTGAGCAATGAACTTGACTCAACCTGCCGTAAAAACACTATATCCCATCTTTCAGGAGTTATAGCAGAGATCGCCTGCAACATCCCCACTTACGACTCTGCGATGTTCGCTAAACACAATATGGCAGGTTGGGTTGAGCCATCCAACTTCGTGTTTGAACCAAGTCCGATATGGCATGACACCGACGAAATAGTCGTTGATGAGAACGCCAAAGTTTTCTTGAGAAATCTACTAGGAAAGAGTCGGCGAGGCCTCGGAGATGCAAAAACACAGGTCGAGTCTAGGCGGAAGGAAATCAATGGATTAAAGGAGTTGATCGATACTGTCAAGCTTGATGAAAGCAAGATGCAGAAAGAAATTGACGCGACTAGAGTGAGACCTCTTTTATTAAATTTTGCTTATGTAATTTCAGTGAAGTAGCTAATGCATCCCAGGGCATATTCTACAACTTTGAGGAATTGGCCCCTCATTCAACAAAACTAACAACGCTCCAAGTCGAAATTGAAACCATCTTGGGGGCAGTGGGTGAAATTGAACGTGGAACGCAAACCCATAAATTTAAGCCCACAACCTTCAAAATCCCGACAAATTGCGATTTCTGCAACGAAACTCTATGGGGCCTGAAAAGTAAAGGGTTTACTTGCCAGGACTGTGGCTACTCATGCCACAAACACTGCGAGATGAAGATTCCGGCAGCTTGCCCGGGAGTGCTAGACAAGGCTGCAAAAAAGGCCCTGAAGGAGGAAAAACGGATGAGCATGGCTATCGGTGGACCAAACGGGAACGATACAGAACTAAGCCGTAGTAACACCATGAATTCGCTATCCTCCAGTTACTCAGGGGGGAGATTACGCACCAAACCTTCAGGCAGCAAGTTACCAACTAGCGTGAGTCCTAGTGCAGCTAGTGCTGAATTGGAAGCCACCCCTGATATTGCCCCCCCGAGGAGGAACAGAGTCATAGCTCCGCCACCAGAGCGATACGTCTCACCCCCTTCCGAACCCATAGCGGAGCTCCCAGAGCATGGGAAACAAAAGATTGGACGGATGATATATACATATTCAGGTACAGGCGAGGGTGAAATAAGTATCGAGGCAGGGGCAGAAGTAGTCGTCGTTGAGCCGGATGATGGATCAGGATGGGTCATGGTTCGCTCAGGGAATGCTGAAGGCCTTGTTCCTGCCACATACATTGACGTTGATCCATCGCCTGCGGCGCGCCCAAGTAGCGTACACTCTTCCTCCAATGCATCTATTGCAAATTCAACATTCAGTACAGGGAAAAAGAAAGGTCCTGCTGTGAAGCCAAAGAGGGGTGCCAAAAGAGTAAAGCATGTTGAAGCCCTATACGACTATGAGGCAAGGAGCGGTGCGGAACACAGCATGATTGAAGGCGACAGGTTTGTACTGGTCAAGGAAGACGATGGAAGTGGATGGGCAGAGGTCGAGAAAGGTGGCGTTGTGAAGAGTGTGCCAGCGGCATATGTTCAAGTCGTCGAAGGATGAAGCTAGTTTTCACGGGAGTGGATACTTCAAGCGCCGATATAGTAGCGGAAGGCGAATTTGGTCGAGACGGACTACTTCATGTTTTGCCGCTTTGTTTTTTTTCCTTCTCAAGGAGTCGGGGGCGTTAGACAGGTCTTTTTTCGCAATGGCTTCCCTACATTACAATTGGAGCTCTTGTCTTTCAGGCTAGTAGATACAGAGTGCAAGTTTGTTTTTGTCTAATATAATCTAAAATCGTTCTCCGTAGTAGTCTATTGCTCGAACAGATTGTCGATAGAAAAGTCAGAAAAGTCGCGTCCTGTAAAACAACGATCTTGCTCGGAAAATAGGTGGCTTAACGAGATGTCGGGAAAAATACAAAATACAGTTACACGCACGCTACATAAGATTCTTCATACTTTTGCCGTACGTAAAAGCTCAATAATGGCGATTGGCGGAGCATCACAAGCCACGATACAACACCGGCATTCCTGACGCCATCCTGATCATATATCATCACTCGTTTAAGCATCTACCCAGTCTTAATCATCAGTCATGCAACCTCCAGGGCGGAACACAACTCCACCGACACACAGAAGAGGTTCGAACAGCACTATCGCCCCTCACGCTGCTTAGATTCTAGAGGTTGGTAACCGAATGGTGAGGCCAGCTGCGATGCCATCCTGTGAATACCCATCATGTAATTCTGCATGGCTATTTATGTTGTATCATACTCGTACCCTCTGGCCGTCCCGTCAGACGTTGGCAGGAAGGAGCTCGCCTCCTGTCAGATCGACCGACTCCATCGCCAATAAGATGAGATCATCCGCCACCGATACCTTAGGTTAGATCACTTCATGGCTGAAACGAGCCTAAAGACGGGCCTGTAAGGTTCCTTTGTTGGTCCCTGTTTCCAAGGTAAGGGGTGCGCACAGTTACCATTCTGATAGTAGCGTTTCCCGGGGAAAAGGCCAAACAAGGACGTTCTATTGCATTACGGGTATGGTACTGGTATGATGGCAAGAACTCGGCATTTGATCATCCAGGGACGGCGGCCAAGAACCCTCGGGATACCTTTTCGGGTGACAATACTGCAAGAAGGCACGTGACACTAACAATGGTGGTTACCCCAGCAACTTGCAAGCCCTCGAGGAACGTTATCAGCAGACTTCCCCAACCCCAAACGCGTGTCTTGGCGAACCCCAACGCGACAACCTACCACGATACACAACCCCCTCCTCCATCCAATCCAACCATCCAAATACCGGTTTCCCCGCCACCCTCCTTCTCCTTCGACCCCCCTCTCAAGTTTTCCTTCCTACCCTGCTTGTTTAGGATCCGCCAATCATCGACTCATACCTCCCACGCACCATCAAATAAGCACACGCTGCTATCATACCTACCTGTCTGACTACCTACTCATCACATTTCATCCTCACCCCGAATCTACTTTTTATTCAGAGGTTTTGGAAATGGCGAAAGCCAAAGCTATTGCGCGCAAGTCTACCGGCGGGAAAGCCCCACTAAAGAAGCCTACGAAGACTGTGAAGCGTCCCAGCGGTGTTGGAGCAAGAGGTGGGATCAATGGATCCATTATTATTATTATTTCAAAAAAAAAAAAACCTAAAACCTGGAGGACGGCAAGTTTTGGCTGACTGATTTTTATGAAAATCGCGTACAGCCGGAGACCCAGTCCCTGCGAAGCCCACCACCGCCCGCCGCTGGAGGCCAGGAACTCGCGCTCTTCGTGAGATCAGACAGTATCAGAAGAGCACAGATTTGCTGATTAGAAAGCTGCCATTCGCTCGCCTTGTAACGCTCCCCCCATTCCTCCCTTTGCACTAATTGTGGGGGAGCGATAAACTGATGGGAATGTTTTATATAGGTCCGCGAGATTGCAATGGATTACACCAACGCTGCTCACTTGAATGGTCTGGGTGGCAGCGGAGTCGACGACCTCCGCTGGCAGTCCACGGCGATACTGGCACTGCAGGAGGCCGCAGAGGCATACCTTGTTCATCTTTTTGAGGACAGCAATCTTCTGGCTATACACGCCAAACGAGTCACGATTATGCAGAAGGATATTCAACTCGCCAGGCGTATCAGAGGCGCTTGGGGCGGGCTGGGTTAGGTTAGTTTAGAAAGTTGGCGCACGTGGTTATTTTCGTCTCTGTTTTTTTTTTCTGTTTTTTTCTTCCCATATTTTGCATACATGCATGGACCGTGGGTATCACAAAGTTTAAGGGTGCAAACCTGAGGGGGATTGTATAAAATTTTTTTTTCTCCCCCCCTCTTCCTTCTCCCCTCTTCTTTTTTGGCCTGTTTCATTTCCCTCAGGACGGCGTGTGCATGCGTGGCTCTTGTATCTGCCTGTCTGCCTGTGGATTGGTTATTCCCTGGCTTACCGAAATCGAATCGGATTGAATAAATGGATGCTATTGCTGGGTTGCACCTTGTTATTTCGCTATTTCTTGGTATGGTAATGGTTTACCTTTATGCTGGCTGGGTGGGTGGTTCTCTATCTTATATCGTTGTCATCAATAGTCTTTTTGGTCGCTTTTTTTTTTTTTTGTCCAAATATTGTACGTGGAATACCAAATCTACTACCGGTAGTAAAGGAAGTTTCAAGTATCCCATATCCCACAAAAACAACCACAGTACCAGCACCTAGAACTTCTGTTGGAGATATCCGCACGAGTACCTATACGTAAAGTACGATACGAGTACAATACAATACACGTCAACTCAATACAAGTAGCACTGAAAATATCCTTCCTTTATTTCCCCCTTTCCTGCACCATAGTACTTTTATTTACCTCTAACCTCTCTTTATTCTTTTAAACACTTGTTTTCCCTTGACTACGTGCAACCTCCTATCCAATCATTTCCCAGTTTCTCAACAAACTTCCACAAGGCAAGACCAGCCGAGTGAGAACGAGTGACGAGATCAGCGCGCCGACTTCCCCGATCTATCATTCGCCAGACCGCACAGATTCGAGCCCCCCCAATTCCCTGCGATCAAAATAGTACGCGAGTATGATTACTCTGTTGTTATCGGTGTACCCAACTGACGACCCGAAATTTGTTCGTCACGTCACGCGGATGTTTTTTTTGCCATGCTGGGAGGGGAGGGTGAAACGGGGGGTGGTATAGGTATCGTATAACCAGTACTCGGGTATTGTTCAGCCCGAGATGGGTAGTATCATATCATAGGTTACGGTACGGGAGGAATTGACTGGTGGTGGGGGGTTTTAGAGTATCGTATCATAAGTGGGTTATGACTTATATAAGCATCGGTATATGGCTTGGCGCGGAAGCGGGTTTCAAGCTGGCTAGATCTGATAGACCGCGTGAGCCCTCAGCGAGGCGCGGCAAACCTTGGCACATCCTGGCGTCAACAGAACGTGGCCCCCTAGCCTACACATCTCATACAGGCCATCAACATATCAATTTTTTTTTCTTACCACTAACATCACAAACAATCAACCACACAACTATCTCTGGAGACACAACCCACTTCAGAGGTCCGAACGACAAACAGACCGACGGTTCTTGTGATTCCTCTCTGAGAGCAGGGGCTATACAGGCACCTGCTCCCTCATCAAAGCTTTCTTCCAATTCTTGCTTTTCAATCTCTCCCAGCTCTCCAACCCCCTCCTACATATCGTCCAGCTGCTTCTCAAGTTTTTTTACCTTACCTTTGGCAACATGAATATGTTGGACAAGGTGGCCTTCTTCTTCAAGCAATATCATACCTGATTTATGACACTTGAGTAATCATTAAGAATACCAGGATCTGATACCTAGGAATCACCCTAAGTAGGGTAACCCTAGTCAGAATTGGAATCTCTGGTCTCCAACACCCCCCTCCAGCCACCTTATAGGGCCCGCATATCATCAAACCTATCAATCTCAATTGTATTCTGTGACAATAATGCCACGCAATTGAAGGTATAAGTATTAGGAATACCGAGATCCGATACCTAGGAACCACCCTAGGTAGGGTAACCTCTCCCGAAATCGAAATCTCAGGTCTCCAACACCCCCCTCCGGCCCCCTTACGGGGCCCGCGCGTCATCATACATATCGATCTAAGTTGCGTCCTGTGAGTATTATACCACAGAGTCGAAGGTGTTAAAATAACACCATATACGTCGCCGCCGTCTGTCCGACCGGATCCTATTCGCAGGATATATAAGAGGGGACCTTCGGCTAGGTCTGGGAAGTATAACGGAGTGAATCCGTCAACTACCCAGAAAGTTACTAGGCTTCAAGAACGAGATATCTTTGGCATAGGCTGCAAGTAACGGGACGTTTTCGCGCAAAGAGATGATGATGAATAGTAAAGGATCTTAATGAAAGACCAATACATTCACATCCACCCTACGATAACCAGAAGAGTCTGGAACTCCTGAGAATACTATCATCGAACCCAATGGAGTTCGAGGAGTGTTACAACTAGGTTCCGGTACATACTGCAACTGAGGGGGTGACTTCCAAACCGGTGATAGTAACCAGAATCCTATTACCCATGGCAACCAAGGGTTACCGACCGAGGGATTATCTACCAACTCTATGGAAAGGCTTCCTGCAGGTAAGTAGGAAGTCCTCCGGAAAAGATCTATTGGTTGGGTATGGAGTTATGAAGAGTTGAAGTTAGATGACCTAGAAAGTCGGTAATAACAACTATCTTCGCAGATGCAACCCGCAGACGAAACTGATCATTTCGTCGACAAGGGAGACGATTGGAGCCAACACAGTTCGACTTGAGAATTGGGCCATTTGTCTAAAAAGACTCTCACCATCGGATAATTACTATTGGAAACAGCATGACTTCCAAATAGTTATATTATAATTATCAAAGAGGGTGTGATGATTTTCAGGGTCTACAGGTGTTCGCACCTTGGAAGAAAACCCGACGTTGCGAGTTATATTGGAAAAAGGTACATGGTTGTATGTTAGTTAGATGTAGTCCACGAATACTCAGACGCGGAATATAAATATCGAAGTGCCTCCCAAGCTTTAGACATCATCAAGCAACGGAGAAGAGACCTTAACAATATAACATTGTTCTTACGATTTTACTTTACCCTACTTTACTTCGCTCTTAGTAGTCATAAACGAAACGAGTGAAGTCTGAGCCTTCCTAGACAATCTCTGTCTCTAAAAACGAATCTCAATCGGCCTAGACAACTCTGAAGTCTATCAGGTTGTCTCTGCCTAACAATAAGAATAACACTATATAAGTCACTGCTGTCTATCTGACTGGATCCTATTTGCAGAGTATATGAAAGGGGACCTTTGGCTAGGTTTGGGAAGTGGAGTAGAGTAAATCCGTTAACTATTCAGAGAGTTACTAGGCTTTAAAGATGTGACATCTTTGGTATGAGCTGTAAGTAACAGGATGTTTTCACATATATCTGATACCTTATCCCTAGTGCTTGACAAACTTAAGGCACTAGATAATGGACAACCAAGTGGTCGGCATGCTATATTGAAATCAGTCCTAGAAGAATGGGAAGACGTTGCAGAAAGGGAGTAACTTGAGGAAATCTCTACCTGCAATAAGGGAAAGCAGAGAGAAGAAGAACTCCCAACTCCTATAATACTGGGTGGCAACCTAGATGAAGAAAGTGATAATAGAAATGACGATAGAAATGGAGAAAAGTATGGAGAAGTACTATTCAGATTTAAATGGGGATTAACCCTTGAATAATGTGGAACAGCCAACGTGCTTATAGAAGTATTATCCTAAACTATTAAGTGACTAGCAGATCCACCCCCTTTTTTCGAAGCAAAGACCAATCAATGCACTTATTATTGGTTAATCCAACATATGGATTATTTCGTGTACAATCCCAGGATGTGGGATGATGATTATGAATGTATTATCTACGCCTTGAGGAGAACTAAAGGAGATCAGGTCAGCCCAATAGCAGTATGGTATCAGTGTATAATGGATGGCCTCCGTGGAGAGGAACAAGTCCCAGAACTGAGTTCATGGACTTGCTTTGAATATGAATTTACCAGTCAGAATACCCCCCTCAAAGAAGGACATAAAGCCATACAGGACATGGAATTAGTCGAGTACAAAAATGATATTCAGACATTTATGGGAAAAATACATAATCTGAATCTCTACGCTCCACTAACAGGACTAGCCTAGTGTATGGCGTGCAATAGAAAGTTGCCCTTCAAGATTAGATGGTGACTTTTTCTGAACAAATATGATACCCACAGAGAATGAGAAATGGCAGTCCGTGAAGCAGGAAGAGATGAGTAAGAACAGCTGGAAGGAGACCACCTACATTAGAATAAGTTAAAATCTGCAAAAATATTCTCTGACAAAAAACATGTTGACAAGAATCAACCAAAAGTAAAAAGAGAGAAACCTTTTATAAAGAGAGGTGGTCTGTCCAAAAAGAGGAAGTGGGAACCAGAATCTGAGAAACCGGTAAAGAGATTTAGTGGGACAATGAAGTCGACACATACAAACTTCAAAACGGCCTATGAAAGAATCCCCCAGTCAACAATTGACGAAAGAAAGTGGGAAGGTGGTTGCACTCATTGCGGAAAAAAAAACCACGAGTACATAATCTACTGGGGACAAATTCAGGTGTCAAGGACAAGGGCAGATAATGGCTCATTCAAGACACCAAGGGCTAGAATGATAACTATAGTTCACCGTCCCACAAAGATCTCTACCGCCCAAGTTCCAAGAGGCAACAAACTCTGGGAACTAGACAAGGAGGAAGAAATAACTTAGATCATTTCATTGGTACTGACAATGACTGTGTTAGGGTAGTCTAGAAGAGACAGACTCTTTAGGAGTTGAAATCAACTGTAAAAGGGGTCGGCTGTTAGGAATACCAGAACCCGATACCTAGGAACTACCCTAAGTAGGGTAACCCCACTCGGAATCAGAATCTCTGATCTCCAACACCCTCCTCCAGCTCCCTTATGAGGCTTGCACGTCATCATATATATCAATCTCAATAGCGTCCTGTGACTATATTACCATAGAATTGAAGGTGTTAGATTAAAACCATATACGTTGTCGCTGTCTGTCTGACCAGGTCCTGTTCGCGGGATATATGCGAGGGGACCTTCGGCTAGGGCTAGGAAGTGGAATGGAGTAATTCCGCCAACTACTCAGAACGTTACATAGCTTCAAAGACCTGACACCTTTGGCATGGGCCGTAGGTAACGGGACGATTTGGCACAAAGAGATGGTATCAAATGGTAAAGGATGTAACGGTCCCCCTTTGGACAGTTAGTTCTTGGCGATGTGGAACGATACTTCTCTCTTCTGCTTTCTTATTTATTCGTCTTATGATAGCACTAGGCCTCTGCCTACATTACCGATAGTACAAGACCTCTGTCTTCTATCGGAAATACCTATCATAAGCCTTCTCTAACTCTTCCTCTTGAAGAGCTTTCCTCGTCGTAACAATAGCGTTGCAATAAAGATAAAGATCGTAAAGGTGTTTTATATT